GAGTCACCATGAACCGTATCTGGCAGACTCGTGAGAAAAATGGGTTCCGCATGCGGAGAAATACCGAGAAGAGGGACTGCTCTGCCACTAAGAGCAGTACGGAGTTATCCAGACAGAAAGCGCGTAGAAGAAAATTTGACATCTCACTGACAGAAGATATATCCCAGCTACCATATTCTGAATGCTCAATTCAATATAGAAGAGGAGATTGTTGTCCGAAAGCAAGTGGGGAGAACCAGTCCCCAAGTAGATCTACACCTGCCCCAAACGGCGCCAGCAGGGAACTCTCGCTTCTTTCTGTTTTCATCTAATAGGTACTTCCTTTTCACTTCCTTCCTTCTACGACACCTCATTACTCCAAGAGGACGCCTTTGACATATCTATCCTCTTGAAGTGAATTTCTCCACTACTTTCTGAAGAACATGGGGAAGAATCGCTGCTCTCTTATATATCCACCAGTCTTATTAACAGACATTGCTACAGCTGCAGGATTTGCACACTTATCTTCATTAGCTGCTCTATAATTCCGTCATCCTTTCTTCTTCTTCTCTCGGATGAACTACCTGTTGGATTACCCGGATATCCCAAGATCTCAAGACTGATGCTACCTTAGATGGGGTTGCATCTTGCGTCATCGACCTTATACTCCCGTCATTTTCTAAAGGAACAACAATAGGAACTTTTCTTTCACGACGAACGAATTCCCCATACATAAGAAATGACTTCTGGAGACTTGGAGGAAGGTGTTCAGGAAATCACGTCGGCAGAAACCGCATATACCGATGCTCCAACAGTCAAAAGGACCGGAGACGAAGAAGGATGTGCCGAAAAAGATGCTCATTCTTCGTTTGCGGGATCGCCCGCGCAGTCGGCCATGGAAGTGAAGGGTACAGCGATTGATATTCCATATGCAGAGCATGAGAGCTTGCCGATAGCGGTACCGAGGCTGAAGCGCCGAGGGCTTTTCGGACAACTTACCCTGCTGGCAGAGGTTGAGAATCCGAAGACGTATCTCCGAAAAACGAAGTGGTTTATCACATTCATTGTCGCGCTGGCAGGATCTACGGCTCCCATGGGTAGCTCGATACTATTCCGTAAGTGGCTCCCAATTCAACTGCCCCTAGGATTGAACTCGTGGTGGCCAACCCACTTGTTGATGCGCTCCCCTTGTCGGTGAACAACTCTCGTTGGTGGCCTCGCTACCCTCACACTTCGAGAATTCCCCGATGACCAAAACGGCCGATATATCATTCATTAGCACGTGCTAACAGGTTCTCATGATAGCCTCTCTTTCTCAAATATCCAAGGAAATGGACGCACCAACCACTGTCGTCAACCTGAATATCTCGCTGTACATGCTGAGTATGTCTATCTTTCCACTTTGGTGGTCGTCTTTCAGCGAGAGACTTGGTCGGCGAACGATATACCTCGTATCCTTCAGTCTCTTTGTGTTGTTTAACGTTCTGAGTGCGGTATCCCATTCCATATCGATGCTAATCGTTATGCGCATGTTGAGCGGTGGGGCATCGGCATCAGTTCAAGCAGTTGGCGCAGGGACGATAGCAGATCTGTGGGATCCGCATGAAAGGGGACGCGCAATGAGCATTTTCTACCTGGGCCCGCTGTGCGGTCCCCTGCTCGCTCCCATCGTGGGGGGAGCTCTGGCAGAGCGTTGGGGATGGAGGAGTACCATGTGGTTATTGGCTGTTTATGGCGGAATCATCGTGATATTCATCTTTTTTGCACTTCCTGAAACATTGGCCAATCGAAAGCAGCGTGATGGGGATGAACAAGCACCCGTTGAACGACAGCTCAGTCGGATATCTTCACGCCAGGTCGTTCACCTCACTGCCAGATGGTTGAAGGTCCTCAAGATGGTTTTCCTTGACCCTCTTAAGATCGTTCTTTACTTGCGCTATCCCGCAGTGCTTTTGACTGTATACTACGCGAGTATCACCTTCGGCTCCCTATACGTGTTGAACGTTAGCGTTGAACATACGTTTTCAACGAACCCCTACAACTTTAGCACCGTTATTGTTGGGTGCCTCTATATCCCAAACTCGCTGGGTTACATAGCTGCGAGTATTTTCGGCGGGCGTTGGATGGACAAAATCATGCAGCGTGAGGCGAAGAAGGCCGGCAGATATGACGAGCACGGCAAGTTGATATATCGCCCGGAGGATCGCATGCGTGAGAATGCTTGGCTGGGCGCATTTCTGTATCCTGCAGCGTTGATCTGGTACGGCTGGACTGCCGACAAGGGGGTCTTCTGGTTTGCGCCGGTTAGTTGGTCTAGCATTTTGTTTTACTGGGAGGGTGAGAAGCTAACTTTGTCTCCCAGATGGCCGCCAACTTCTTTTTTGGTGTCGGATCAATGCTCATATTCAGCATGGCAACGACAATGTTGACAGAATTCATGCCTAAGAAATCATCAACTGGTGTCGCATTGAACAACTTTATGAGAAACATATTCTCATGCATCGGGTCGCTAGTGACAGCCCCCATTATTGATGCCATTGGTAACGGATGGCTCTTTACAATCCTTGGACTGGTCGCTTTCGCCAGCAGCTCGGTGATTCTCGCTATGAAAGTATTTGGACCTCGTTGGAGGAAGTCGATGGATGCCCTGAGTCACTAATCTGGTCTTCTTGTGGGCCGGAATGCAAAAAGTAATGCAAAAAGATACCCCAATAACGTTATTTTTACGAGTCATATTAGCATAGTATAAAGCGATCATCGATTGTCCGCGCTTCTGGTGCCCTGCTGTAGGTGATCTGTAAGCGCGCAATTGCATTTTGATATATAAATAGTATGTCCAGCGCAGCGTATTGACCGTAGGGAGCGACAGATTCTTTGTATAACTATATTTTAGCCTTCGCTCTATTGACCTTGAAGGATGTCTGAGCGTAGGAAAAATGCCGCCACGATGAATGGATGCTATCTGAGATGGTCAGGGTGATTTTGTTAGCAATTGTCGGATGGTCAAAAGCTTCAGCACATATTTCTTCCTTGTATTGCCATGTTGTGAATCAATTTCTAAGGAGCAGATAATTTTCTGAGGCACGAAGTGGTCGGTGATAGATCAGGGATCATGCGCAATCATGCAGGTAACCACCGCAGGCACCTCTCTCGATAACCGACTATCTTCTACTTATATCCAGTTGCATCCGACTCTATGATTCGTCGCCCTGCATTATGGCTATGGACAGCAATCAACCGACACTTCTCAAGGTCTATCTATCTCTCTCAAGTCAAATTTGCTATTCTGGTAGCATTGGGAGGGCTGAGATGCTCTTTTCGGGCTGCTGCTCAGCGTGGCATACTCAGGATAGCTCCATGCATTATTACTGTTCTGCTCTTCTTTGCTTTCGAAGAGGCGTGACGAAGAGCCCTTTCAGTTTTAAATGGGCCCAAACCGTTCTGGCTAGTTAGTGCTCCATAGTTAGGTGCCAATTGACCACTCATTGACCGCCAAAGCAGCAATCCTCGCCTCATTTTTTAGGTGCAGAGATAGTAAACAAACTGGCTGAACTGTGACATTTTTTGGTGTTTCACAATCAGGACTTCCGGGCTATTCTGTGGCTTCTAGATTTGTCAAAGTATTCTTGTTAGCAGGATCATACTCATGAGATGATAATATCAATATAGCATATGATGTTGTTTAAAGGACAATAGTAGATGAAGGTTAGGCTTGGAAGTATTTTGGGCATTGCCTAAATCAGTCTAGACTGATCTTCAAGTGCTGAAGTGTCTCGGTGGAGTTGGAACGCCCTCTCTTTCTCCCCTCAAAGACTTGGTTTCATCAAGAAATTGGCTATTCTATGTCCCAACCATCATCGTTGATGTAGTAATGGCAGAAATGAAACAAGCTGGCGATCATGATTGACAGTTTGCTGCAGAGAACAGGACAGAATTCGATCATGCACTCCAGTCTGATCCCAGTCATTCTGGCCGGTGCTTCGACGCACCACATATTATGCACCTTATTCCGGCCACCGCCCGCAATTTGCGTTGGGCAGGAATCGGTGATTGAGGAGTGTCCCTGAGAGGTTGGACTGTCTTGTCATTCTCGTTGTCTGGCCACTGGAGGCTTGCTGTCTATCTCTCTTCTAAGCATAGGAGGCAACTCGAGTCCTTCCTTCTGCATGACTGTTCGATATCTCTGGCATCTACGATGCCATTAAGATGATGTTTATTGTCTAGCATAGGAGCTACCCGACGACAACCCTCTTGTTGCTGACCGTTTCACCTCCTCCTGATTTACTCTTTTCGGCCACGCGCGTTGGCTTAACCGCGCGAGGCTATTGCGGGTTATGGCCAAAAACAGAGAAAGCATCACAGACAATCACGATTCATCTATCGGTGGCACCACCCCCACCAACCCTGCGGTACCCAGTTATCCACCACCCACGCAACTCCATCACTGGACGGCTTCCATTTCTCGCCCCGCTGCCTGCGCTGGCTACTGCATGATCGTCCTGCTTTTTCCCGGCCCTAACGATGCTTTCGGGAGGGGGTCTCCCAAGCTGTTTTCCTAAATTCATCAAAGGCCATTGGATCTGTGAGACGTGGCCCAATCAAAAAGCATGCCGTTGGGTAGTTCGCCGGTGACGTCCATCCGGCTCCAAGACCTCTAACTGTAGTTTGACAGTATCCCATCCCAATGGGTACAGGCGGACGGCAATACGTCGCCTCGCCTTGGGGCTTGGGCGGAACCACCATGCTGCTGGCGGAGGGACAAGACGTATGCTGCTTGTTCAATCCCGATTTGACCTCCCTAGCACATGAGCGTCTTCTCGATTCATCCTTCCATGCCTGTTCATGTCTGAATCTTCCATTCCGTTCTCTTCCATCATCCTTGTCTTTTTTTATCCGATTGATCCTTCCCAACCCCTGAAGAGAGTGTGACAGGAAGTCGTACCTTGTCTATATAAATTGATACATCAACTGGGCCAAACCGAGAAGCTCATAGCTGGACGTACTGTGACTGATCCGATGCCATGGCCAAAAAAGGAGCAAAGAACAAAAAGAAGAACAATAACAATAATAAGCAACGCCTACCAGTGAACGATAATAAGTTTTCCCTCCCTGAAGACAACCCTACAGCCGAGTCCGGCCTTGAAGAGGCCGCCGAGGCTGGGGACCATGGCCAACCTACAGTATGCACAGCTTCCCAAGTTTGAATATCAGACATTCGAGCGTCAATATCAGACCTTCGACCGTCAAACTTTGCAATTTTCATTTTATCCCGTCACTGCTACTTCTTCGGATGGTCTGACATCGGATAAGGACCAGGATACCACCAATAACGCGACCAATTTAGAGGAAGGCCCACCCCCAGAGAGTGCTCCCGTAGAAGAATCAAGTAGTTCTCCTGATGACGCTGCGCCTGCACCGGAATCTCAAGGTATGTATGCTTGTCAATCGCCGCCTTCTCTCTTTATCTGGGTTCACCTTGCTCACATTCGTCTAGAGTCACCTGAAGAGGCAGCTGCCCCACCTCAGCCAGAACCGTCAGATGAGCCTGCACCAGAAGCCAAGGAAGAAGCAGAACCTGCGCCAGAGGCAGACGGTACCGAGCAGAAAGCGGAAGACGCTGCCAACCCCGACGAGTCCGAGACGCCAGCTGCCACTGAAGATGCCGCGCAAGACCCACCGCCCGAGGACGGTGATGGTGCCGCAGCCGCGGTAGCTGAAAGTTCTGTAGCGGAAACCAAGGAAGGAGACAGCAACGGTATGCTTGCGGATACGAAATGCATAAAACCAGCTGACCTCATTCGCAGAGGATGATTTCCCAGAATGTGATCCGTCCGCGGAGCTCGATAAGGTCGAGGCCGAGAAAGAGGAAGCGGCACGGCAAGCGGAGGAGGATGCCAAAGCAGAAGAGGAGGCAGAAGCAGCCGCAGCCGCAGCAGGGGTTCCTGATGACGTCGATATTGATACTGGAAATGAGAACTCACCTACAGATAATCCAGACAGCGAAGAAGCTGCCCCCGTACAGGACGATCCACCAACGGACGGGTCGGCAGAAGAAGATGCGACGAAACCTGACACGGAGGATAGTCCAGCCCCGGAGGGACCTGCCGAAGAACAGAGCGACCCATCAACAGAAGCGGAGCAGCCCGTCGCTGAAGAACAAGCTCCCACCGAGGAACCTCCTGCTGAGGAGCAGCCCGCTCCTGAAGAGCCCGCCGCGCCAACTGAAACGGCGGAGGACAACACTCCAGAAGAAGCGATAGCTGCCGAGGATGCAACAGCAGACAACGTTGCAGACGAAACGACACAGGAAGAGCCCACTGCCGAGAAAGCCGCTGAAGAGCCTGTAGCTGAAGAAAACCCAGTGGAGGACAAGCAAGAGGAGGTAACCGAAGCTCCCGCATCCGAAGAAGCAGCAACTGAGACACCGGCCGCGGACGAAGCTGTGGCTGAAGATGCTGCCGCCGAAGCGGCTCCAGAAGCACCGCCAACTGACGACGTGGCCCAACCAGAAGAAACTCCTGCGGAAGCCCCAGCGGCAGAAAAGGAAGCGGACGCTTCTGAAGAACCACCCGAGCAACCTCCGACTGAAGAAGTCGTCGAAGAATCTGCTTCCCCCGACCCTGAGGCTGAAGAGCCAGCACCTGCCGAGCAGCCCCCTCCTGCAGATGAGCCTGCGCCTGAAGAACCTCCTGCTGCTGAGGAGCCGGCACCTGCTGCGCCTGAAGCCGAGGAACCTGCGCCACCGGAGGAGACTCCAGCTGAAGAGGCTCCTGCTGCAGAACCGACTACTGTTGAGGATGTGACCCCTGAGGAACCTGCTTCTGTTGAAGAGGCACCGGCTGAAGAACCTGCACCGGCTGAAGAACCTGCACCGGCTGAAGAACCTGCTCCGGCTGAAGAACCTGCTCCGGCTGAAGAACCTGCTCCCGCTGAAGACTCTGCTGCCGCCGAGGAGATTCCTGCTGAGGAACCTGCTCCTGTGGAAGAACCTGCTGAGGAACCCACGCCAGTTGAAGAGCCCGCCCCTGCTGAAGAGCCTGCTCCAGCGGAGGAACCTGCTCCCGTTGAAGAGGCTCCTGCTGAGGAATCTGCTCCCGTTGAAGAGCCTCCTGCTGCTGAGGAGATTCCTCGTGAAGAGCCGGCTCCCGAGGAACCTGCCGCCGTCGAGGAACCTGCTCCTGTGGAAGAACCTGCTGAGGAATCTGCTCCCGTTGAAGAGCCCGCCCCTGTTGAAGAGCCTGCTCCAGCGGAGGAACCTGCTCCTGTGGAAGAACCTGCTGAGGAATCTGCTCCCGTTGAAGAGC